CCAGGAGAGATTGGCAGGAATCTGCAAGAGACCCGATGAGGGCTAATGTGATGCAATGTAAAGTTATGTACACCATTCAGTCTAATTCTGTCTATAAGAAATGTCAGATATGAACATGTTGCATCCCACCCCCCCCTTTTTTTTTCCTTTCTGTAACAACACCCACCCGTGCAGGTGAGAAAAAGGTTTACTTTTCTACCTATCTAGATTCACTCTCTATGTAGCTCTCTGAGTCCTATGTCCAGGTGAGTAAGGATTTAAATAGGTCTCCTCCTAAAGAAGTATAGTATGTTCAGGTGGAATGTCTTTTTTTTCAAATCTTTTTATTGTAGAAAAGGCAGTAAGAAAATGAGGCTCGCAGGCCTCCATAAGAAGCATTGTGGAAAGATGTATCACAAAGCATTTGTCATTCCATTTTAGAACACAACTTAACAGACTGAAACAGTGCTTGGTTACAATGGTAGTGTAAATGCATGGTATAGTTGCAGTGTATACAAGTATGACATGAGGGCATTTTCACGTTGGTCACTCTAAGCCTATAACTAGGCATGTATATACAATTATTGTTCCATGCTCGGTGTGTTTTCTCCTGTATGTGTATTTACTGCTTCCTTCCACCAAGTATGGAGCTTATTTTCCCAAATCAGGGATGATTTGAACAAAGAGGGGTAAAGGTTGTTGGAAAAAGAAAAAGTTGTGAAAGAAATCTTGAAATCTTGAGACAGTAGAGTATATCTGTGGGGCTCGAGTTTGTCTGCCTTGTCATTTGTTTTATAGTTAGAGTCAGAATCCTCCAAGGCAGATCTCTGATCTGTGTTTAAATTAAGAAGACAAAGACTATGAAAATTCCACTGCAGTGGTCCTAAGTGTTTAAACACTGTTTGTATAGTATTATCTTGGTTAAGGATGTAATTACCCCTTAGAGGTGTTCGAGATGGGTAACTCACAAAGTACCCCGGAGGAATTTACAGCTCTGACTATAGTCAATCATCATTAAGGACAAGGAGCTACTAAGACAATAAAGAAATTACTTAAGAAAGCTGGCATGCCCTCAGAGAGCCCCCTTGACCCCCAGATATGGAAAGAATTTATGGCAAATTATAGAGGGTGGTAAGAGGATAATGACTTAGAAGAAGTTGCTCAGAAATGGCATGATATAGCGGTTGAATTAACTAAATGTGGTTGTAGAGAAACTACCAGGAAAGGAATACCCTATTACCAATGTTTTGGACCCTTAGGCTCCTGCAATAAAAAGAATCCCAAAAGGAAACCTGAATATCCACCCCTTTACCAAGGAAGGAAGGAACCATATATAAATCGGTCCCTAAAGAGAAAATTAGATCTCAAGTCCCTGCATCCACTGTAAATCCTATTACCCAAAAAGGAATACTGGATCCACGTTGTGAATGGACACACTCATGGTGGAAAGAAAAAAGATAAAAAGAAAAAGAAGCAGTAAGCTTTTGAAAGTAGATCACTAGAGGTTCAAACAGGTCCAAAAGGGTAGGAAGAGTATAAGCCATGGACACCAAGTGAACAACTAGTTATAATTCAACAGTTGCCAGATGTGTAAGAAGCTCCTTTAGCTTTAGTTCAATCCCTGTCCACTATTCAGGCTACTTACCAATGCACTTGGGCAGACCTAAAGCAAATACTTGACTTGCAGGTCCTGTCCTCACTCGAATCATTGCCCATTACACAGATGTACATGAGGGGAATTTAAGGAAAGGTGGACAAGACCAACCGCTAAAACAGACCAATGGTTTAGATATAAATCAGCCTCAGGAAAATCCTATGTAACTGCTCTTAAAAATTGGGCTAAAGTAAAAAACGAAGAACTGGCCCACAAGCTAGGAGAAATTATTCAGGGGAAAGATGATTCAGTGGAAAAATTCTTTGTCAGACTGCAAATAGCTTGGGAGTCACTGGGCTATACTGAAACCAAAGTAACATCCACTAGATTGTTAATTAATTGTTTCATAGATGGTCTCCATGCTCCTATAAGAACAGGACTCCAGAATACTAGACCAGAATGCAAAAGCCTTAATTACAGTGATTTAGTTAAAGTGGCTATGGGAGTAGAAGCCAACCTAAATAATAGAAGAAGAACAATATACAATGGGAACATCATAGCAGCTTTAGATGCAGAAAATTAGCACACCATGGAAATCAGCTTTAGATGCATAAAAATGGCACACCATGGCAATCAATTTTAGATGCATAAACCTGGCACATCGTAGCAACTTTAGGTGCATACAATTGGCACATCATGGCAATCAGCTCTAGAGGCATAAAATTGGCAATCAGTTATGGAGGCATACAACTGGAACATCATGGCAGCTTTAGATGCATAAACTTTGCACAACATGGCAATTGGCTTTAGATGCATAAACTTGGCACACCATGGCAATCAGCTTTAGATGTATAAACATGGCATGCCATGGCAACTTTAGTTGCATAAGATTGGCACACCACAGCAATCAGTTTTAGAGGCATAAACTAGTCACACCATGGCAATCAGCTTTATAGGCATATAATTGGCACACTGTTGCAATAAACTTTAAATGCATAAAATTGGCATATCTTGGTACTTTTAGAGGCACACTTTTGGCATATCATGGCAGTTTTAGAGGCAGAAACTTGGCATATCATGGCAGTTTTAAAGGCAGAAACTTGGCATATCAGGACAATCGGTTTTAGAGGCATACAACTGCTTACTCACAGGCTCAGGCAAAATCAGAAGCGGTGTGTTCCACTCTTTCATCCAGGCACCTCATGTTGAGTATCCCAGTGGTGGAACTAATGTAGAGGGAGTCCTGTTGCAATTATCTTTCCTGGGAACCCCTCTAGTGCAAGTGTGGCCAAAAAGTGAATCCCCATCAACAATGCTATGCCAGGGGGATCTACCATTTGCTCATCGTTGCAGGGTGGTATTTGTAAGCAGTGTTTGAGCGTTTGAATGTAAGCATGTTTTTGTATGAAGTATATGTGTACATGTATGGTGGTATTTGTACTGTTGTCATTGGAATGTAGTGGTGTACTTGTGTGTAGTGTTTGTGTCTGAATATAGGGGTGTTTGTAAGTAGTGTTGGACTTTAAATGCAGGTGCTCTTTTGTGTGTAGTGTTGTTGTTTGAATGAAGGTGTGTTTGTATATAATTTTAACGTTTTAATACAGGGCTGTGTTTGTATGTAATGTTTGTGTTTGATTGCAGTGCATGTGTAGTGGATGCAGTGTGTATATAAAATATACATAGACACAATGTGTGTTTGAATGTAAGCATGTTTTTGTATGCAGTATGTGTGTGAATGTTGGTGTGCATTTGTGTGCAGTCTGTATACCTCCACACACTGAAACACATATACATATACACACACACACAGATACACACACACAAAAATACACACTGACACAGCAATACACACAGGAACACACAAAATTACACCTAGTTTCCCACACACAGATACACAGACACTCATGTACACAGACACAAATGGACACAAAGATACACATACACACAGAGACAGGAGGTGAGGGTGACAGTGTGTGGGGGAGGTGAGGGTGACAGTGTGGGAAGGAGTGTGTGTGTGCTGGTGACAGTGTAGGGGCAGTGTGAGAAAGATTGACAATGTGGAGGAGTGAGAAAGGGTAACAATGTGGGGGATGAGAAAGGTTGACAGAGTGGGGTAAGAGAGTGAGAAATGGTTACAGTGTGAGGGGGCAGGGTGAGAAAGGGTTACAGTGGGGGACGGCAGGGTGAGAAAGGGTTACAGTGAGGGAGGCAGGGTAAGAAAGGGTTACAGTGGGGGGGGGCAGGGTGAGAAAGGGTTACAGTGGGGGGGGCAGGGTGAGAAAGGGTTACAGTGGGGGAGGGTGGGGCAGATAGATGGATGAGCATAGATGAATGACAATGTCCAGCTGTCCATTGCCCTATCCTTTACTTACTTTGACATTTACACTGTCCGCCTATTTAAACCCACTCCTTTAATAATTGCTGTCATTTACCACCCTCTGGTCATCCTAGGCTATATATTGAGCGCTTTTCTTCCTGGCTACCTCAATTCCTCTCCTCTAGCACTCCTTTCCTTATACTTGGGGAATCAAAAACCTCACCTGCACTGATGCCTCTCGTCTGCTCTCTGTAACCTCCTCCTTTTCCTCAGGCAATGGTCTAATTCAGCAACCCATACAGTGGGAAACACTCTTGATCTCACCTTCACCAACCTCTGTACCACCTCTAATCTCTCCAATATTACTTTTTCTCTATCTGACCACCATCTGCTGACTTTTGACATCAGCACACCCAAGACCCACCTGACACCACCCTCAGCACATCAATATCTCAGAAAACTCCAATGTCTTGACTTAGAGCATTTCTCCTATAACCTCCAAACTCTCTTTTCACCTATCTCAAACCTCACCTGCCTTAGCACTGCAGTCTACGTCTTCAATTCCACGCTCTTCTCTCAACTAGACAACATAGCACCTCCACACTTAAACGCAGCAAGCGCAACCAAATACAACCTTGGCACACCAAGCTGATATAATACCTCCAAAAATGCTCCAGAACTGCTGAACACTTCTGGAGAAAGTCTCACTCCGCATCTGACTTTCTCCACTACAAATGTATGCTGCTCTTACAGCTTGGCTCTTTCCACTGCAAAAGTAAATTACTTCAATACCCTCATAACCACACTCTCCCGCGAACCTAAATGACAACTTCACACTTTCAACTGTCTTCTTTGCCCTGTTGCTCATCCTCCTCCTACCGAATTAACCGCCATAAACTTTGCAATTCACTTTAGTGACAAATCTCTACAATCATGTTGCATTTCTCTTCTTCCCCTTACAATACTTCCCCCAACCTCACTCCCTCTACTGTTCTATGTTCATTTGCACCAACTACAGCAGAAGAGGATTGTTATCTGCTCCTGTCCTCCCGCTCCACCACCTGCTCCCTTGATCCAATTCCCTTGCATCTCATCTATACTTTGTCTCCTTCTTTTGCTTTGCCTCTCACTAAAATTCTCAATCACTCCCCCTCATCTGGCATATTTCCATTACCCTTCAAAAATGCAATTGTAACCATGATTCTAAAAAAGTACAACCTTGACCCTAACTCCCCGTCCAACTACCACCCAGTAATGATCTTACCTTGAAAGTGGAGTCAACACGCAGAGTAAAGGCACCCTTTGCAATTTTACACAAGCCAAGGGGACTCAAGTTAGAAATCCCCAAGGCTGTGAAACAGTGCACTGGGGCTGATAATACCCAGTGTTTCCAGGAACGAGGTACAGGCAAGGAATAACCAAAAGCATAGTCAGGGATGGAACCAATAGTCAGGACAGGCAGCAGACAGGCAAAAACGAATGACGAGCAGAGGATCAAAAACCAGGAGTCGGATTAACAGCCAACAGGAACAAAACGATCTGACAATGTGTAACAACCAAGGTGGGGTTTATATAGGGATATGACAGCCACTTATCAGGAACAGGTGTGCATGGTCCAGGCGTAGACACTAGGAGAACAGGATACCAGGAACAACTAGAAACAAACAAAGATGCATGGAGTCCAAGGTAAGGTAACTGACTATCTCACTACTGCCTTTTGCATGCAAGATC